CTTTTGTATATAAATATATTGTAAGAAAAACCGACTCGTTGAATATTTGAGAAACTCAGTGCATTGCTTTATTGATTTTTATTCATATACAATAATATTACCCTTCTTCTTTGTATACTCTTAAAATGACTCTGATTGTTCCCTGGTATTTCTCCACTCCAACAGCTTGAGGTCCCTGGATTCTTAAACAAAAATAATTCTTTAATAAACATAATTTATTTTCACAACTAGTTTCTTTACTTTTTATTAAGGTACAGTCGTAATATAACCGCCGACCGATTTAGGTTTCTCACTTGATTAAGTAAATTTTTAAAAAGATCTCGGTTTGAAGAAGGTTGTGTTTTAAGCTACAGCTGAGTTTATTTAACAACAATTTTGTCCTTAAAGAGAATGTTTACTAAATGACAAAATATAAGATAGTGACGTTAAACTGCTACAGAAGAGAAAGTTTTTTTAAATTTTTGTTGCATAATGGACAACACATCATTTTTTTTAACCCTTAAAGCTTACTATAGACTTCCCCTCTACGTGTCTATACATTTTTAACCTAGTCAAAATGCCCAAACGTTGGACTTTTAATAATATTAACTGTAGTCTACACTCTACAACCATATGCAAATTATTATTTCCCCATTTTAATAGTTTAATTCAAAGTTTCAGCCAAACATTTAGAATTTGGGGAGACATTTTCACAAATTCTATTTGTATATGTGTAAATGTAATGCTAAAATGGGGGAGGGAGGAAAACCCAAAGTCCCAGTTTTTTTAGTCAAACAGTTGTCTTATTATTCCACAGTTTAATCAATCTCACTGAAATTACCTCAGTCCATAAAAACAAATATTCAGTCATAGAATACACGAGTTGTATTGTATGTTAAATCTAAATAAAATTAAATTATCATTCTAATCATGTTGTTTGGGACACCCAGTATATTTGAACAGGGGAGACATTCGTCATTCTTCTTGATGCGAAACGGAACAAAATTTCGATTTTTATCAAATTTTTTTTTCGACATTGATCAAAAATTTGGGCGAAAATGAGGTCGAAAATTCATAGAAAATCTCGAATTCGGTTCACTGAAAATTTACTTACAAACCCAAGCTGTAAAGAATATATTTACCGGCTTTTAGCAACATCAAATGGTATGTTAAAGCAACAGGCCAGAGTTCCTCCAAGAAACCCGATTAACACTTTTCTACCAAACTCTAAATAAATAAACAATCAAGCCATCTACCATTATTCCGTAGAAGTCAGGGCTAACCCTGCGTCAAAAATAAGCGTAACTCTAAATAAATAAACAATCAAGCCATCTACCATTATTCCGTAGAAGTCAGGGCTAACCCTGCGTCAAAAATAAGCGTAACTCTAAATAAATAAACAATCAAGCCATCTACCATTATTCCGTAGAAGTCAGGGCTAACCCTGCGTCAAAAATAAGCGTAACTCTAAATAAATAAACAATCAAGCCATCTACCATTATTCCGTAGAAGTCAGGGCTAAGCCTGCGTCAAAAATAACCGTGACTAAATATATGAAATTAAACATGCTAAACATGTTAAAGGGATAACACTACTTTCTGCTAAAACTTCTTTTAACATTTGAATGTATGCCAACATTACATAGATTAACACAAAAATCAAATTTTAGTTTTCAGGGAAAATTTGATAAAGTTACATCACAACTTATTACATTTTTTTTGGACATCATTGTGACTTTGTCAGTCTCTATTCCAAAAAAGATGAACTTATAGTTTAAGTTTCGTTTGTTACTGTACAGTGCAACTTTGGTCAATATTTCCCAAATAAACAGAATGACCTTTGAGATCCCCAAAGAAACGCCAAGACAAAAAAATGAATATCATGATTGAATAAGGCTATAATAAAATAGATATCTATTCTTAAATAGCACATATACAGCATAGCTCAAAAATTCTGGCGACCACTGCATTGTATACAATCCTATTGACAAAAAGCTAACCACTATGGTTTATTTTTTAGACAGTTAAAGGTGTATTTTTTAGAAAAGAAAAACAGATTACCTAGTTTTGAGTTGTCTGCGTGTGGAACAATATCTTTAAAAGTGTGATAAAACCCGAAATATATCATATTAAAGAATCCGTTTCGTCCCATAGTTGCTGTTATTCCCTTTCCTGAACCAAATTTTCCAATTTAAAGATTTTTAAGAAATTCTGTTTGAAACAAATGAATTTATTTTAACTTATACAGTGGTAACGATTATATCAATACAATAAAAACCTACTTTTTAAATTAAGTTTTGATTGTTAACTAGCTTTTTTCAAATCAAAAGTTTAAAAGTAATCAAAGAGAAACTTTTTATGTGTTTCTTTTCTTTTTAACAGCTTGATAATTAACATTTAAATCATTGTAATGATATAATCGCCTACCACTGTACAGTGTACATTCCATTATAAACATTTGGCATCTCTTAAGGTTTTTAGGTCTGAGCCTTAAACTACCTTTAGGATAAACTATGTCTCATATGTTGTGGCTTCTGCAGTTGCATGATGATCATTTAAAAATATCTTAGAAAAATATTAGCTAGGAAAACCCTTGTTAGGAAAGTTAATACCATCGTTAAAGTAGCCAAATAATATTAATCTATAATTTCTCTGAATAAGGATTCCTAGAAGTCCACTTGATCCGAAAATCCCGTCTGTTTTGATAATCTCTCTTACAACATTCCTGTAAAATAAATCATCAAATCCTTCAAACATTTAAAAATATTTTATTGTCAGATTGATATTTAACTTTTATAAAACCCTCTTTTACAGAAAGAATTTCAGACAAATTGTGACTAATCCATGATTTTTCTTCTCAATAAAATATACAACCCTTCTAACAAATCTTATCTTTATTAATATATACTAGTCCGATGCTGCCCGTGTTCCTATTATTCATAGTCATAGTTAATCCCGCCTTTTACCCGCACTATAAATCATAGTTTTAGCAGAAGTGCCCGGCGTTGCCCGTGGTCCTGCAATTTGGTTAACTGTAATGATCATATATATAAATGTATATTTATTTATATGATCGAAAAGCTTTATTATATATAGATAATAGATAATTACCCTGACGAAGGAGCGACAGACTGATGAGCTCGGTTCGCCTGCATTTTTACCTTAACAGTAAACATTCATGAGACCAGACAAAGGGAGTATTTATCTTTTATCCCTATATTGTGCAACCTGGGGGGATATTTCAAATTTAGATTATTTGATCTGACAGAATTCATTGATTAAAATATCTCTGGTCTACGATATTGAGTTGCAAAGATTCTAGAAAGCTTAAAAGGGTTATTATTTCATGATGGCTCATGCGTTCAGTGTCTGCAGCTGAGATATTGAATTTAGAAACATATGATTAGGTAAGAGGGTCCCGGGGCCCCAAGAATCCCAAAGTGTGAACAATTGGCATACTGTAGTGTTACTACTATTAAAATAATTTGTACAATTTTGTAATTATCTTTTATAAAAACCTTTGAAAAATAAAAAATTGTTAAAAAAAAGTGTGTGGCAAGAACTCAAATAGAGGCTGACAACTACGTAACCTTCAGTTGTCGACTTTATTTCAACACAATGAGACTTTCTGTGTAAGCTCAAATTTTCTGAACATGGCCCTGAGAATTTCTAATAAGACCGATTCTAGGTAATATTAATTTCCCATGAATATTAAAAGATGTTAAAGTACCTTGACAACCTCGAATGGATTTACTATGATAGCTTCAGTAACTCCAGAGCCTAGTCCTGCTAATGCATATGTCTAAGATAAGAGAGCAGGGTTTCCAATTGTTTCCCTAATGAATTTGGATCGGTAAAGGTCTCTGAAGCTGACTAACAAACTATTAAACAAATTTGGAAATTAAGAGCAGAACTTTGCTTAGCTAACTTAAGAATTTTTAACTTTAATAATTTATTATAATTAAATTTTACAATATTTTTAAATTTCAGATGGAAACTTATTTCTTGTTTTTCATTCTTTCTCCTTGATCGTCCATTCCTTGTCCAAGCTAACTTAAGAATAAATCTACACAAAGTTACTGGACGATTATCCTGGATCAATTCCATATGGAATAAATGAAATAATCGTCCCGTAAAAGGAACCGAGTTTTTGCAACAAGTTCTGATTTTCGAACACCTATATCCTACGCAACATTATGTCGCAGACCTTTGATATTATGAATTATGTTAGATCAAAAAGTCGAAGTTTGAAATATCAAAGGTTTACACCATCATATTGCACAGATATAGGGGTTAGAAAATTTGAGTTTGTGGCAAAAACTTAAATCCTTTGTTCAGAATGTCACACCTAGCTCTTTGCATCATCTAAGGGGTTGATTTATTTGAAAATCCTTCAAGAAAGGTTCCGCCCTTAAGTTTTTATGGTTTATCATTCTTTACAACTTTAGGAAGCTTTCGTTAGGCTTTTACGGAGCTAAATTGATCTGAAAAGAACTAAACCCTATCAGAGAGTCTATATTGTAAAGGACTACAATATGATTTTCTAATTCATAATTTTTGTATCAGAACTTACCAGTGCTGTGGGTTTATCACTTCCAAAAAGAAAAACTTGCTGGAACTAAAATATAATGTGTGAATTATTTACAGTTTAAAAAGGCATTGAAACATTTTTTATTTGATACCTGTTCAAAAGTGAAAAATTTCCAGGCTCGCTTCGGAGTTTCAACAAGGATGGGTGGGACAATACCTTTCCAGAAAGATAATACACCTTCAGATCTGTTAAAACAAGTACAATAAAAAACTAAATCTCAATAACGAAAAAAAACAATCAATTCTTGTTCTAATTATATTGATGAATTGTACAAGTATCCTTCCTGTACATTTGCTGAAAACAGTCTCTGAGACCATTGTAGTGAACGACTCCTGAATGTTGATAACAGCATATTTATAAAGGAATTGAGTCTTCGCCACAAACTCTGGTTTTTTAATTCCTGTATCTTTGCAACCCAATGTCGTAGACCTGAGATAATTCACTATGAGTTCTGTTAATCTAATAATCTAAGTTTGAAATATCAAACAGTGTAAACTGTCGGGTTGCAAAAATATATAGGATTAGAAACTACGAGTTTGGGCAAAATTAAAGATGTAAGTTGGGAGAAAAACTAATGTCCTTGAAAGATTTACGAAAAATCCCAAATTAACCATGAAGAAATCTTTCGAAAAATTTATCTTTTTAAATCATATTTTGACAAAAATGTGATGTTTCACTTTTTTCAATGCTGATTTCCTTGTATTTGAGTGTTTGCTTGAATCTGTAATCTCGTTTTTACTAAATCCAGAGGATGCATTAAGCATACTTCTATACAGCCTGGACAGTGGATTTACATATTCTTATGTAAAATGTAAAAAACAAATTCTCGCCTAAGATCAGGATGTAAAATGTAAAAAACAAAACAATTTATTTTTCAGTTTAAACAGAAATAAATTGAGTCTTTGCCACAAACTCTGAATTTCTAGTCCCTATATCATTGGAACATAAAGTCGTAAACCTTTGATATTTTTAAACTTATATTATTTGATCTAATAAAAGTCATAGTTTGAAATGTCAAAGGTTTACGACAGTTGGCATCAAAAGATATAGCAATTAGAAGATGCGAGTTTGTGGCAAAGACTCAATTCCTTTATAATTGTGTTCCGTCCTCACAGCGAGGTCGAAATCGTCAAAGACATGGTGTTTGTGAAATCAATTCGAGCCTGAAGATGGGTCAACTCAGTCTGAGTTACAAAGAAGAAAATCAAAAAGTGGAAAAAGTTACATTCTCTTAAATTCATATAAATTCACAAGTTTGCTAACGCCAAACAATAGCTTTTTATTTTCACTTTTTAAACTCAAGCTGTCCCCTTTTCAGTCTCATTGTAAGACATTTATATAATATTTATATAACATTATTTAAAGCAGAATTTATGACAATGGACAATGAATCCCGAATTTTCCTAAACTTTCTAAATAGAGCCTTTTCAAGTCTGCACTTGACAAATTAATTTACTGTTTACTATAAAGATAGGAGATATTTTTACTGTAAGGATAGGAGATATTTTTACTGTAAGGATAGGAGATATTTTTATTTTTATTTTTAATTCAATGGTTTAACTTGTTTTGGTTAATACTAAAGAAACGTTAAAAGGAAAACCAAGGTGGAAGGTTAAAAACTTATCATAAATGTGAAAATGCGATTTATAATTTCATCATACAAAGAAAAGGACATTAGACTTGTTCGAGATTTTTCTGTTTTTAAACATTTAAAAATTTTTTTCTGCATTTGGCGTTTAATAGACATCATTATCTTGATTCTGAATTTATTTCTATTAAAAATAATATCACAAATATAGGAATTTATGACATCTTCATGAAAAACTAAAAGTACTGTTTAATTAATAGAAAGTTTAATTATAATTTATCCATTACATTAAAACATAAATAATTGTCTTCCCTTCATTTCCACACTTTTAACTTTTAGTAAAATTTATTTGGTATAAAATACAATTACGTTAAATTATGACATTACTTTTAGAAAAAATAGGTAACACAAACTAGGATTGTTAGATTTATAGTTCTTTTATCTGTATTTAATTAATATATATCCGGTTAATGATGTTCATTCAGTTTGCTCGTTAGTGTCTATAATTTCTTTCATGATAAAAAACTGATAAAGTGTAAGAAAGACAAATGTGTTAGAAAATGTTTATTCAAAATATTTGTGGTTTTCTACATCTACGTAAAATTTTAACCTTGACAGAAAATATCTGCAAAGAAAAACGACTTAAAAACGAATCAAAAACGATCCCCAAAACGATGCAAACATGCAGTCGTTTTCTCATTAGCTTAAGAGAAAGATATTGCAAACTTAATAAAATACAGTTTTCAAATCTTTGAGGTGTTGTTAATATTTTCCTAAAATCGATCCAAAACGACCTAAACATTCTAAGATTATGTTTGAATAAATATTACCTGCTGATCCTCCAGCAACAAGTTGAATTGCAGCAGTCTTGGCGAAACTTTTCTCTTTAAAAGGAGAAATATTACCCGCCATCTTGGAATTCTAAATCTTCATTAAATTTTTAGAATTAAATTTCCATTGGCCAAAGTTTTCTAATCCCTCAATCTTTGCAACCTAATGATCTAAACCTTAGATTTTGATATTTCAAACTTAGGCAAATAAATCTAACACAATTTATAGTTTGAAATATCAAAGGTCTTCAACATCGAATGGCAAAGAACTAGAGAAAGGAGATCAGAGTTTTTGGCGAGAACTCAGTTTCTTTATGCGTCCACAACAAACGTGGGTCAAACTCAGAAAACATCAGAGACAAATCTGGGAGGCTCATGGCGTCCGGGGGTTCCCTCCCTTGTCTGCCAGATGTCTCACCGCTCACGCTAAATTCTTATCTGACCATGCAATATATGAACACAATTGAGAGACGTCAAGTGGTCGACCAATGTAATGTTTAAAGAAATGGCCTTAGGGGGTATTCAGGCCCCAACGGTTGCCGACCCCCCCTTAGAAAGAAAAAATTAAACACCCCCTAAATAAATTCCAGAGTACGTCCTTGCGTACAAGTATGCCCCCATATAACTAGGGTTTCCACGAAATGGCTAAATCTTTTGCGCAAAATTTGCGCTATTTTCGCGCAAATTTTTTTTTTGCGAACTTTTGCGCTATTTTTGCGCATGAAACGCAATGAGTTTTGCGCGGTTTTGCGCTATTTTTTTTGCGCAATTTGCGCAAAACCGGAAATATTTTTTGCGAAAGTTGCGTATGAAACGAAATTTTAGTCTTGCGCAATTTTTTTGCGCAATTTGCGCAAAACCGCAAGTTTTACGCAAAATGTAACTTTTTAGGCACATTGTCAACAATTGATATTCTAAGCTTAGAATTAAACAACTGAAGATGTATTCCATACATAAAAAAATATTAACATATGAGTATGATAACGATTATACTACACTCAATTGGTTGCTTCCAGTAACAAAAAGTTTAAATTATGGGACCAAAATTAATAAAATAGAAATTAGAGAGTGTGAAACTTGGCAATATTTTAATCCTATTAAATAATTTCAAGTGACCCTTAAAAGCTTTGCCTAATCAAGTATGAATTATATTCTTAATTTTTTTTAATCTTTCTAAAATCTTCTTTATCTCATATAAAATAATGGAAGAAAGTAACCAAT